TCAACTTTGAACGGTGGATCAAGTAAAGGACAGGAGAAAAGGAGAAAAGGAGAAAAGAAGAAAAGGAGAAAAGGAGAAAAGGAGAAAAGGAGAAAAGGAGAAAAGGGGAAAAGGAGAAATGGAGCAAAGGAGAAAAGGAGAAAAGGAGAAAAGGGAGAAATGGAGCAAAGGAGCAAAGGAGCAAAGGAGAGAAGGAGAGAAGGAGAGAAGGAGAGAAAGAAAGCAATAAAGAAAGAAAGAAAGAAACAAACAAACAAAAAAGAAAGAATGCATGCATGCAAGCCTCAAAGACGGAAGGACACATGCAGAAATGGGCAAACCATCACATGAATCAGATGAAAGATTGATCCTTGAAGACAGTAATGGAGTCACGATGGCCCAGTGCAAAGCCAGCCGAGAAGCCCTGTGGAATGTTCCCGTTCAGGTTCTCCACAACCCACTGGGATGCCTCCTTGCCGATTCCCAGCAGCGCTTCCACAGCCTCTCACGGGAGTGAGAATGAGGCAATGATTCGGCGCACTGAAAAGCGTGGCACACTGTCAACAGATACCTGTTCAACCAGCTGTCGAGTGTTTTCCAGGGATATTCAGCGGTACACATATTGTCGTACGAAATGACAAGCAAAAAGCCACCACCCTTGAACTGCACATGGTGGAAGACAAACTGGCAGGCTTCCAAATCGACCGTCGTGTTAGTGACAATGACATCAGAAACGGTTCGGATCCATCCTGCATTGGCCCGGCTTTGACGCATTGCACTCCGTCAGGCTTGTTCACAGGAGTTACGGTGCTTGTCTCCAAAGCTCCAATTCTTGGCAACGGCCTAGCATGTGGCTTGGCCACTGCTTGAATGCTTCAAACGGCAAGAGAAAACCTGCTTGCTGCCAAAGCGATACCACCTGATAACATGAGGATGTGTTTGTACAACTGTGTCAGTTGGGGTGAAGACGAATCCAAGTCAATGCACTCGCAATCCAGGTATTCTGTTGTGTTGATCTACTCGAGAACATTCTGACATGCCTTACTTGCAGTCATTGTATGGTAGCTGCCTGCTTGACATGTGTCACCTGGCTCAACCATAGTAGCCGGCTCTGTTTGCAAAGGGTTCTTGGGGCCTCCGATCACTTGGAAAGGCCTGGCTCGCTTTTGAAAGGGGTCTGCGCTCCAACGCATCCGCACCTGGCCAGGCGCTGTCTCTAGAACCTTCGCCGCATGGATCGGAGCGTACTGCCCAAAAATCTCCCTGATGACTGCCTCGCTGGTGCCTGGCGATTCGGAGTTCAGTGCGTTCCGAAATTCGACTAATCTCTATCCGGTGCAACATCTCGCCTGGCGGGAGGCCACCTATGTGGACGGTGTCATACATCGCGGACGCGGCCATGGCGAGTTCCCCCGACGCCTTCCTACCCGTCGGAACCTGAGCCATGGACGGCGAGGAATGCACAGCATCCGAAGGTCTTTGAATCTTGAAAGGAAGCCGACGAATGGTGTGCCATTGATACTTGATTGAAATACCTTCAAAGCCCACAAGTACACGTCATCACGAGCAGGATCAAGTAGACCTTCCAATAAATCGCGAAGCCATGGCAAGCTGAAAACGGCTCAGCCGATTTGGTTGCCTCGGCAACTCTCGTGCTCTCAGTTGCAACTACAAACTCGTTTTACACCGCAAATAATGAAGCATTACCATGAAACTTCCCAAGTAAACCACACATATGACATGTTGATTCAGAACAAGCCCAAGTTGTTTGAGCTGCAATCGATCCTTCAACGGCCCCTAACACTTTTCACTGTGGCTTTATGCAGGCGCTTGCTCCTGAAACCATGAGAATCAGAATTTCTGGCCCGTCCCAGCCAGGGCGGCTCACTTCGGAAAGCCACGCAAGCCACTCTCCTCCGCCGATATTGACTTCTAGACAAACAATCGAATGAAATTAGCCCGAAGGCTAACATGTATTTGAATGGTTGCTTTCAACAATGTGGCCAACCCCACACACTGCTGGTTGAATTCGCATCCCAAAACAACAGTTTCTAGTGAAATCTGCAATAAGCCACGACCCACAATGAGCTCGTACATGCAATGCATGTGATTGGCCAGTTGAAAACGATGTTTGCCTGAGCTTACGAGCAGCCTCCAAATGGACAAAGGCCAATGGTTCGCCTTTGAGCAGCTCACGATACTTCTGCACAGGCCAAACCCACCGAAAGAATCAAGCTTGGCGCCGTGAACAGCCTAGAGTGGTGACCAAGTGATCAGTAGACCAAGAAGGCGATGTCTTCAGCAATTTCCACAATGACGCAACGTATTGCGGCAATATGCCAATGTTGGCCTTCCTATGAATGGGAACCAAATGCACTCGAAGCTGCACTCACCGCGATTTGGCCCCTACAAAACCTGAGCATGCTCTGCCTTCTCTACATAAGACTGCTTTGGAAGACTCCGAGCAGCGACTCAAGGCTCCCTAAGTTGTCAAGACAAATCAAGTCCCACTCCTGTTGCCCACCGTCCTCCAGCCTCAGCTCTGCAACATGTACCCCCTTAAGAATTGGCGGCTTCCAGCTGCAAAAACAACTGCCGTCCATGCGGCCTTTCTCTGATGTAGCGGTTCTTCCGAGCGCAGGCATGCAGCGCGCACGTCTGCTCCGTTGAGGTCATCTGCGGCCAAAGCTTCTCTGCGATCTGGCCACCCCCAGCAATGCCGCGGACCAGCTGCATGTGAGTCATGCTGCCGTCCAGCCTCATGGATCAACATGTCTCATTTGCAGTCTTCCTCGCAGACTCACCAGATCTGCGATGGTATTGGGCCAATAGCTAGGAAACAACTAGGCAACATGAAAGAGGTCAGAATTAGCATGACCTCCCAATCAAGCTCCTGTTCATCTGAGAAGTGACCAAGACAACGACTCCTCCATACCATTGAATATTGGCATCGTTCCACAATAACTTTTGAGGCAAGCTATCCTTGCCAAGTGCCCACCGAAAAGGGGACATTGGATCGAGAACTGTATGATTCAACACAGCCGTGAGATGTCAAACTTTACGTTTCCGGGCTAACCTGTTCTCTCGTCCAGCAAGGGAACTAATGGCCAAGGGCAGTACAAAAGCTGCAGACAAGCAGCAGCATCACCATCGGCCCTTTAACCGGGTCCATAGTGACCTCCTCCTCCGACTGGCCCAGGGGAACCAGAACGCAAGGCAGGCCGTCATACAGCGTCGACTTGGAAAAGCCTGCATCGACATCGCCCAATGTCGTGATCTCCAAGAACTTCTGACATCCCACAAACAAACTCAGGAGCATAAAGATATCAAAATACATGGTCAGAAACATCCCGCTTTGTTCCTCAGCACTAGGATCCGTATGCGTGTGCCAATCCTAGCATACAACAGGCCACGTGCTCCTTTCAGCCGAGGCGCCTTTGGGCAAATGGATGTCCAGCGCATTCATTGTAGGCTTACCAGACGGGCAGACTACATACTGGGCCAATGGCTATTCAAATGTCCGGTTGCGCATCCTTCGATTCATACCTCGCGCCAAAAAAGGCCTTGTGCGATTGGGAGGCCCTCTAAGGCGAAGCCCCCTTTCAGCCACAAAAGCGGCCCCACAAGCATTGAACATCGGCACCTACATTAACATGTGCTGCTTGCGAAGCACAACGCAACCATCTTGCACAGCACCAAGACAGCAGGCAACACGCTGGTATGGGCATTCGTCGCCCAACGTTGGCAATTTCCGAACAACGCGATCAGTCCGGACCGAAAGGGCAAAGCCCACTCCAATTGGAGCACGCATGCGCCAATTGTGAACAATCGGCATAGGGATGGAGTATGTTTAGCAAGCTGATCCGCTCTAACTTGCACCCTTTACATGCGGCGGGGGGACTGGTCTAGGGTGAAGATCCCAGTCCCTCAACGAAGGATGGCCGATAAATTGTTCGAGATCAATTTAAATACTGAATATGTTCGCCAATCTTATTTGGATGGCCTCTGCGGATCGGAGCGGGTGAAGAGATCTGCTCCCTGCCGGAAAAAATGTGACCACTCGCCTAAACAAGATGAGCATAGGAGCTACATTGCTTGAAGGGGGGGCTTCAAAAGGCGGCCGCGGTCGGGATTTCTGTCTCGGAGTAAGCCCTTTTACCGCAAAAAAGGAAACTATTTTCCGACACTCGCCGAACGGAAAACATGCGTCACCAAGAAGAACTACACCATCTGCTTGACGGCCTGACATTTTGCTCCGCAAAATGGCACACGTTGCTAATACACAAGTTGCAAATACGCAAAGTGAAACATGGAGCAAACAATGGTTCGAAAGTCATGGACAAGCACAAGCAAATGGGGATCTGCCAAAAGTCAGCAAAAACTCGAGCCTGAAGGTCCAGGTCAAAGACTCTAGATTGTGGAGCGCGTTCTCAGTCCACACCTTCCAAGCAAACCGTTAAACGTGCAAAAGGAATCGAACACAGGCCAATGCCAAGCCAAAAAGACCGCGAGGTCTGCCAAATAAACTCAACGATCAGCGCTCCAGTCTTTTCAAAGGCAAGGTGCATTCCCGAACAAGTCAGTGACAGCTCCTGCATTGCAGCTTTAAGGCTCTTCTTTTTCCGCATTTGCATGACAATCCAGTCTGCCCGAATTCACGGTGTGCAACTTTGCCGACGCAAACTCCACCCGCCCGGCACGGATCGCACCGGACGATATAGCCTGGGGGAGGATAAGTGCGAGCATCAACTTCTCAGCACAATCGTTGGTGATGGGTGAATGCTACAGTGTAGGTCCAACATACAAACCAATGATCCAGCAATTTGGTGCAAAACCAACAAGGTATGTGCCTGACACCACTGCTTCTGTTACTGCTCAATTGTCACCAATCCGAGATAGGAGCCGACACAAAACACGTTGCTGTCCAATCAGGAACCGGAGGGAGCCTTCCGAACTCTTGCCTCACAGAAATATGCCACACTTGCACGTGTGCGTGTCCAGTCCATGGAGCTTCCACCTTCTTGACTGGCAAGAGGAGCCCATGGTGTGAACTCAGGCCCAACACCGGAACTTGCAGTGCCCAGCGTTCTTGCGAATAGTCATGCAAAGACAGACCTGTCAATAAGCTTGCTCTATCGTGCAACACTGTCTACAATGAGTCTACAAGCTATTCTTCAGTTCCGACTGGCTAGACATTCAGAATGTTGATAACTGTCTTCACAAAAACAGGTGGAGCCGGGCCTGGACCTGCGCCTAGAAGAGGTTGGTCTTCCTGGGAGAAACGGCAAGCTCTCAAATGTGAGAGCTGCATGACACTTAGCACGTAATTGCGAGTCCCAGAAAAACTTTTTTTGGTGGGTTTCAAATGGGTCTAGGATCGGCTTAGGGTCAGCTGAAGGGGGATTTAGGTTGGATTAGGGTCTGTTTAGGCTGAATTCAAGATGTGCTCCATACAAGCTGCTCCACTTGCCAGGGCTGGCTTCAAACCCATGCGGTCTACTTCTGCTGCTGTATGTGGGGTTCATGCCCATCAGCCCTAAACGGGCTTGACATGAAGCCTAAAGCCACCACCCCGTAACCCAGCCACAAGCCACCCTAAGCCCACCCGAACGAAACCCAACCACAAACAACCCTAAATCAACATCACCTCATCCTGAACCTCCCCTAAGGCCACCCTCAACCAGTCTTAAACGAGCTGAAACCCACAATCAACCCCTATCTTAAACCCACCCCAGCCCCACGCTTAGCCTATCCTAGCCAGTCTTTTCTTGCTTCCCTTGCCTCCTCTCCCTCCCATTCCTCCTTGCTTCTTAGTGCTTTTGTTAATGTCTAATACATTTTGTTAGTGCCTAGAATGCTGTTGATGGATCGCAAATATTTGTCGTGCAAGCGTTCCATGTGGTAGACAATCGTATGGTTCCACTCCATCTTGTATACTACATGTTGGGTCAACGGGGGGGTTGCAGCGCGCTTCGACTAGGACACGTGCCCAGGGGGATGGCAGCTTGCCGCAAATGTACTGCAAATTGCACGGAAGCAAACAAATTGTAAATGTGTGTTCAAACGGGGACGGTGTCCATCTTTTGCAGCTGCACTTGCCAAGGGTCTTCATGATGCGAAGGAATTCCTCCTCATTCACCTCGCCATCGCCATCACCTCAGTGCTGCTACAATGTGGAAGCAGTAGGCAACCACTCCATCCCAAGCCCCAGACGATCTGCTTCATCAATCATCTCCTGACACTCCATCCAATCCCAATGGCTTCATGCAAAGCACATTACAACCTTGCAACCGCATTCTCAACCGTTTCCCATCCCTTGCCACGTCTGGCGCTGATTGATTCCATTGAAGTCCGCTGATCGCTCGCCCAGGCCTGAAGTTCCTCGTCCGTCATGCGCTCGCCGAGCTCCTCAATGGATGCAGTTGCCAGAAGAGAGCTGGGTAAAAGAGTAAAAGATCTCAATCCGGCAGAAGAATCCATGCGCTTCTGAGAGAAAGCATCTGAAAGGACGTGACCCGAATACTGCCATTTTGCGAGCCCAAAAACTGCACGTGAAATCCACATAAAAATCCAAGGAAGCGGGAATTGGTATCCTAACAATTCATCCGCAACTTGTAAGAATTTCACTGGCACGCCCTCATGACCCAAGTCCAACTTCAAAGCAACATGCTTCCTTTCCGGGTCCGGAGAGAGCCCTTTGCAAGTGCTACAGATTTTCGTGGTGGCACAAAAATCTCCTCCATCCAACATGTGCGAGGAATGGCCAGTAGAGATTGACACTTCCAGCAACCCTCTGGCCTTGGCCACGCGCTTCAAATTCTTGAAGGAGATCTTGCCAGTCTCATCATCATCAAAGAGACGGAAGGCCTCAGCACTGCCACATGCGCAACCCATGTCAATGCTTTCACCAGATTCGAGCAGCAAGCGGATGCATGTGACGCTACTCGAGTCACGCCCTGCCGGGGCGTCACACCTTGAGGATCTCATCTTTGGGGTCCCGGTTCAGGATCTTGTGCGTCATCATCTTGAGGAATTCCTGCAAACCAATGACTCCTAAAGCCCCTAAAATTTGCTCGATCAAGCTGACCTGGAAAAACATAAGAGGCTTGCAGACTGAGAACCTTTTGGTCGTCCTTTTCCACAACGAAATGCAGTGCAAATAGCGCCTCGTACCCAATGGTGCCAGAGCCATCGTCGTCCACATCAGAGATCATCTTCTGGATCTCTTCCTGTGAGAGCGCCAAATACAGCACAGTTTGTGCAGCGCAGGGCGGGGACCTTGTTTGTGTAGAGAATCTTAAAGCAGCACTATGGAGGACCCGCTAGGAGCGTACAGCATGGACCGGATTTGCGAAGCAAGGCGTGCTTATACTAGCGACGTCCTCACTCGATCGGGGCCCGTCTCTCTGCGGCGGGCCAAGCGCGCTGCAGGGTCGGTGGTCGTTGTATTGCTGGCTAGATCATACATAATAGGATCCGTGCTCTCAGGGCCTCCATACAAACAGGTCGAAACTTGTTGACCTGAAACCTAATGAACGAGGCAAAGTCATAGCCCTCCTTGCTGTAAATAGCTGTCTTCTGTAACCCTGCTTGTGTAGCTTGCTCTGCGCGCGGCAGAGTGATTGCATGTGAAATCCCTCAACAAAATAGCCATGCTCATCAAAGGCATGCTAAGACTTGCTCGATTGCTCCATACGCCTTGCTTCCTCCCTCGCCTTCTTCGGCTCGAAGCCCAAGGCACGCATGGCCACCTTCAGCTCCTTGGAGTCGATCTCTCCTGCGACTCGACACGCCTTCAGCCCCATCCATCGCATCCATCGCATCCATCGCATCCATCGCATCGATCGCATCCGCTTTCTTCCATTTGTGCGAAAGCCGACGGATCGCCGCGAGGCGCCCGACGGATTCCTGAGCCATCCGTGTCAAAGAGATCGAAGGCCTCCTTGATTTCCTGCTTCTGCTCCTCGGTGAGCTCCTGCGCCATTCCGAAAGCTCGCAAATGCCTCTGGCAACCCGGTTGATCTAGCTCTGCATGGAATCAATCCAAAGCAAACAAATGGACTCACATGTCCACCGACCTTGGTCTTGTTCCTTCACCACGACCCCTACAAAATGAACGGTTCTGCCAAATGTCGCACAGCAGTTTCATTTAAGGGTCAAAGGAAAAGAGTGCGGGAACACACGCACAGCCAACACCCTGCCGGCATCCTTCTGCTTCTTGCCACCTGAGCACTAAGCAAATAAGACTGGCACCTTCACTAAAGTGTCTGCAGAATGCCTACGCGCACCGACAGCGTAAACACGCGACTTGTGGCATCCCCCGCCTGCGTTAAAGCGGCGCAGAGCCATGGCGAGGAAAAGTCGAGCTGGAGAAGGCGTTCGAGCTTTGAGCCAGGCTGCATGAGGCACGATAAATTGTTGTCGCAAGGGGTGGCCGCTGCAAAAGACTGGCAATTTCAGTGCCATGTCAAACCGCATGAGCACAAATTCCCTGAACGCAACACTATGCTCAAGCCAGAATAGACACTTGGCAAAGCTTGATGCCTACATGCAACGACGGGAACTCATAATGGCATTGGGAGAGTCTTGAGAGTCTTTCGTTGAAGCTCTCAATTTGGTTTCTGGTACTATGATGCGCAAACCCATTTGATTTTGCCAACGTTTGCCCTGAGCCAAGCCTGCCTTGTACCAGACGTTGTCGAGAGCTGCAGCTCAGCCCAACTCCCAAGCCCTAAGCATGGTGTACTCCAAGCAAGCAAAAGATGTATCCTTCTTCGGGCAAGACACGGCGCTTGCTGGCTTGCATTTTTGCCTTACAGAACAAAGAGTTAAAATATGCAGCAAACTGCACCCCATACAGAACATGAATACATTTTGGCCATGCTGGCCTATGGTCAAGACATGCTTCACCCAGCTTGGGGCCAACATGAGAACCAGCTTCCGGCTCCTTCCCTGAGCTTCCGACTGACCGAGTCCCGGCAAGAACTTCAGCTCGTGCTGGCCAAACCTGTGAGGCAGAAGACAGCTATCAACTGCCTTGCAATCCTCCTTGATTCGGTCTGCAGCGGCACATTTTGTTGTACTCACGGTCGGCCCCACATAAGGTCGTTCCTCACTTCCTGCCCAGCGAGCTGCAATTAGTTGCAGTGGGAACATATTAGTACCAGATTGACGAAACATGTTTTAAAACAGGGTCTGGTGGAGAAAGACATTTTTGCAAACCGATTTCATTCCCCTTTGAAGTGTCCTCCTCCAGCTCTTCTCGAAGTTCGAAGCGAGCTTCGGCCTACCAGAAAAGTCACATGCACGTATGAGCATGCATTGCCCATTCAGCCTATTCACTCCAAAACACACAAAATATGTTCGCTCCGCATCTTCCATCGGGTGGCAAGCTTTGCAACTCGGGCTGTAGTAGCTTGACAGCATCTAGCCTCAAGCTCCTCCCTCAACTCATCCTCAGCGTCCTGTTGGAGGTCGTCCTTAATCTCCTAGCAAAGAAATTGACCTATCTCCCATCTCCCATGATTCTGGAGTCTTTACCATCAAAACCATTCATGCAGCGTTCTGTCTCCGATTCTCTGTACTGCTTTGAAATGTGTTGCACTCCGGGCTAGGTTCTATCTTACGCTTGCTGCCATTCCACAATCTCTTTCATCTCTGACTATTCAAAGCAATTCTGTCTGTCCCATCCCATGCCTTTCTGAGCCATTCTGTGCTGTCCTGTGCTCCTGTGCCATCCTGCGACATCCTGTGAATCCCGTCATCCAGTCTCGTTCTATTGTGCGTTTTCTGTGCCGAATTGTAATGAGGATTGCGTACATTTTGGCCCAACGCTTGTGCATACAGGGAAGCTCTCCACTGTTGCCATAGTGTGAAATCAGAAATCCTCCCCTTTTCGGCACTGCCTGAATCACGTCAAGCTTCATCTCCTTCCTGGCAGGAACAGTCTTGAAACAAGGCTTTACCAGTGTCACAACATTCCTAGATTCCCAAATTCGACGCATTTCAAGGTGTCAAGCAGCTACGCAATCTTTGTCCGATGCCTCATTGCCTGGCAGACTTCCATCTGCACTGATTGCTTCAGCTTCTCGGGCAAACTTGGAAAGCTGGACCTTGGGGGCTGCAAAACGCAGTCTCTTTATAATCCGGGGAGTAGTACAGCAATGTTGATTCTCTGGCAATCTGTGCTATTCGCTTCTTGGGCGAAATGGCTCTCTGTTTTTCACTTGTGTTTCTTTCTGTTTCTCTCTATCTCTCCCTCTCTCTCTCTCTCTCTCTCCCTCTCTCTCTCTCTCTCTATCGCTCTCTCCTCTCTATCTCTCCTTCTCTCTCTCCCTCTCTTTCTCTCTCTCTCTCTCTCTCTCTCTCTCTCTCCCCCTCTCTCTCTTGCTCTCTCCCTCCCCCTCCCTCCCTCTTTCCCTCCCTCCCTCCCTCTCTCCCTCCCTCCCTCTGTCTTTCTTGTTTCTTTCTTTCTTTCTTTGTTCCACTTGAATGAACTTGGGGATGGGAGCCACGTCAAAACCGCTAGACATCTCCTGTTTGTCAGCTACAGTCGCAATCCCATGTTGCATGCCTAGGGCATGATACTCTTTGCAGGCCACACACGGATTCAAACAACCATACACCAAACTCAAACTCTCCAAGAAGCCGCCTATGCATCCGAGTGCCAGTGGACCCGCAACTATCCCACCCAAGTTTGCTGCTCAAGCAGACCACCGCCGTATCCATCAAGAACGCTACGAATTCAGCCATGCAGCATCACCTCCTCCACCTCTTTCAGTGCTTCTGCATTCAACTCCTGGCATGCCCAATGTCCGTCAGCAAAGGCATCAACAGCCACCGACTTGGTAAAGTTGCCCAAAACATGGTCCCAGTCCCAGCTCCGCTTGGTCAAATGATGCAAGAAGCATGCTCTGCAGTGCGGGGTGCCCGAACAAAAAGAACAGCATCTACCTGCTGACATGCAACCAAGCCCAAGCAACAAGAAAGCACGTAAGCAAACGAGTATCTTGATCTTGGTCCAATGCTCAATTGGCCTCCCACAACCCCGTACCTCGTCACGGGCATCGGCGGCATCTATCTCCTGCTGAGGCTCTCAGGCTCCGATTGTCAAACATTTCCAAGCCGGCAGAGACGGTGGGAACAAAAGTGGAGAGGCTGCCAGAGACGCTGAAGATTAAAAAATCAAGCCATCCGCCTCATCCTGCTCCTCTTGTGCATCATCCAAGTCTTCGTCGTCGGTATCGTCTGGCTACCAGCTTCAGCTGAGTAGAGTGACAGCCATCAAGCACCCTTGGAGACTGCGCTGCAATTCATCCCCCATTACAAGGATTGAAGGCCTTTTGATCATGCTGGGGTCCTGCGAATCATAATGATGATAATAATGATCATAAGGCTTGCATGAATGTTGTCAAATCTCTTTCATGTTTGCGCAAAGCAAGGCCTTCCTCCATCTCCCCGTCCACCTGATCCGCAAATCGAGGGCGCAGAGAACCCGACAATCTTTTCATGATGCGCCTCTATGCCCAACTCCTCGCCGACTTCTTGTACAAGACTCTGGCGGACCTCTTCTTCAAGCTCATCCTTACCCACGTGCTGAGGTCGCTTCGAACGGACGCCGCACACAAGGCAGCACCGGGCAACCACCAAAAGGCAAAGCTGTCCTTCAGTACGTCCAAAACTTCCGGCCTGGCGTCTAACTCACGTGCACAGCTTGACAAGTGTGGGGCCTGAGAGCACTGTTTGCCGGTTGATCGATTGTCAAGTCCTCCCTGGGCCTGAGCTTGGTCCTCAGGCTTTGCCAGACCTGCTCTTCCAAGTCATCCCCCAAATCCCGGCGCACCTGCCGGCATTCAACACAGCTTCAGCCATGCCCCACAGGACCAGGCACTGGCACACGAGGTCTCCATCAAATGTAAGAAAACAACTGCGCCAGTTTGGTTCCCACCTGCTTCCGGAAGGCCTTGCACTGGAGTAGCCGCATCCGAAGAGACGCCACCTGAGGAGCATTTCGTGCAGCAGCTGCCAGTTGCGCAGAACAGGTTCGGATGCTGGACAAAAAGTGTCAACACAAAGATCCCAACCTCCAAAACTTACTGGACGACGAGTGTCCTGAAAGGGCTTACAGCAACCAGTTGAAAGCTACTGCGTGCCTGCACAAGTGGCACTGCATTGCACATGTAGCGCAAGGCCAGCAGGGCTGAGCAAGTACGTATTGCGCAATTAGCGCTGTGCAAGGCAATGCCGCGCATCAGCCACAAGTAGAGCTGCACAAGTAGCATTGCGAAAGTGGTGCAACACAAGAAGAGCTGTGCAAGTGGTCGCTGTGCAAGTAATGAACGCAAGAACAGCTGTGCAAGAAACCCTGTGCAAGTAGCCCCGCGCGATAGTCGCTTCAACTTTCTAAGCGGAGCTGCCAGTGTGTGCCTTGTACACTACGTTCGCACTGAAAGTTTCCACAATCGAGACAGGGCTGCTAAGGTGTAAGTTGTGCCTTTCAAGTGCTGCAAATGTTCATATCGCGGACGTTCCCGTCAAAAAAGAGGTAACAATAGAGTCAGCGCTGAGGCGCACATCATACTTGAAAATTATGGCTTTGGAGCCGGAGGCGCAAGAGTACAATTTGCACACAACGCTGTGACTTTCGAGTCAAGACTATGAAAGCATGTTTTGTCCTCTTGGACAGAAAAGTTACAGCTTTCGAGTGAAGTGTAAATATCAGTCGTGCAATGAACATGTGCAACTTTTGAGCCAAAGCGGCGAAAACGCACTTCGAGCACTACGTTCCTGCTTTAAAGTTGCGGCTTTCGAGTCAGATGTTTCGCACTCGTCCGCCTGAAAGTTGCCTTGCGATGTTTAAAGCCGCAAAATGCACTTCGCGCACTACACTTGCACGCAACGTTCGAAGTCTAACCTGCGACACTGTAATTTGCACTCTTGTACTTGAAAATTGCAATTTTCGAGCCCGAGACGCAAAAGTCCAATTTTTTCGCGCTACGTTTGCACTCAAAAGTTGCCATGTTCAAAACTTCACTTTGAACAGTAAGTTCGCGCTTACCAGCTGCAACTTTCGAATCAAAGCTTAAAAGAAGCCTTTGTACTGGAAAGTTGCGACTTTCCAGCTGGAGCTGCCACAGTGCTGCGCAAAAAGGCTTTCGAGCCAGGGATGCAAAGCTGCACTTGGCATTCTCGCCCTTGAAAGTTGCGATTTTGGAGCCGGAGCTGTATTGCACATACGACTTTCTAACTCAAAGGCTGCGCGGAAGGAGCAGGATTTGTTGGGGCCGTTCGCTTTTCAAGCGCATAGACCCGCAGAATCTCGGCAAACGGTCGCTCTTTCAGTTTCAAAAGTTAGATCGACCCTCAGATTCTCAAAAGAGGGTTGCTGAAGAGGGTTGA